AGACTGTGATAGGTTCTGAAAAACTGATTGAGTACCTCAAAAGCTGTCATAGAGCCTGAGATTAAACAGATTCATCTTTCTTTCGTAGAAGTAAGGGAAGGTGGAGTGGAGGGAATAGAAGAAAGCTTTCTTGTCTTTGTGGGCACTTTGTATCTCCCACTCTCCTGTTCTCTATCCAGTGTTGGCTTGTACAGAGGGCGGAGAGCCCATTGAGGTGTCAGCAGGCCACAGCCCTGGTTAGCGGCCCAGGTGTGTGCAGGCTGCCAGCGGCACAGTGACAGGAGATTAAGAGAGATTGGGATTCAACTCTGACAGGCCTGACACAATATATTTGGAAATTTGTAGGAGAGAACATGAGTAATAAAGACAAGAACAGTGACAGTAAGGAACAAATGTGAATTTCTGTCAGAAACCAAACAGAATTTTAAAAGAAGTAGCTCTGTTTATTGTCTGCAGTCAAGCTTTCCAGTTAAAATGTGTTCCTAAATTGAATGTCTCAACACTTTCTGCAATTGGCTAGGAACGCATAATTAAGAATTTCTCTTCAGAAGAGTATGTTTTCAGAAATCATTGTACTTGTTTCTCTGTCACAAATTAAGCAATGATTACCTTCAGATCAAGAAAGCGGATAAGGTAGACTGGCTTTTCTTAAGATTTTCCTGCCTCATGTAATCACATGATCCTTGGTCACATTTTCCTTTGACTGCAGGGTCTGATGTGGTATCCTTGTCCTCCTAGTAAACACTGGCAGAGAAAGAAGGTTCTGGCGAACCTGGCATGGGAGTGTGTCAGCTTTGTATGGGTACAGCCAGACTAGATTATGTTCTCAAGAGAAAGCATACTAGGAAAAAAAATCTGCTTTGTTGGCTCTTTAGGAAGGACCTTAATTAGAAGTCACTCTCAGCTCCTGGGGTGGGAACAGTTTATAGCTTACCACTACAGCTCCTCCTGCTGCTAATGAGCATGCTCCTTGCAAGGACTTGTTTCTTCTGACAGTTAAAGCTGCATGGAAGAGTTATTTCTGTTCACCTTTCTCTGCACATTTAACCCTTACTGTACAAGTTCAGAGTATGCAAGTAGGTTAATTAGGTTCTCTGTCACTGTTCAGGAAATGCCTTAGGGTTGTAGGAATAATATTTGTGAGCAAAAGATAAATAATCATGGTTTAATTTATTCCAGTATAGACAATAGATGGTTCCTTTAATGTTAGCCACATTTGGATCTTTTCTTTCTGATACTTTTTTTAATAATTGATACAAAATTTATAATTGAATAGTTGAATTATTTAGTTCATGATTATGTAATTAGAATTCTTTCCCTGGACATCTGTTTCTGTTATTTAAGGCAACTCACCCCACAACACAAGGTTTCATTAAGTAATTAGCAGAGGAGATGTAAATTTCTTATGCAGACATGATGATGCTCCTATAGACTATTTATTTCATTAGCTTCCAATTAAAACTCTAAGGTGACTTGTGAGAAAATGCCAATGAATGGTTTGCTTCACCGAGAAGTTATTTATAACGTAGCCCTTACTGCATGGCAGCATGTGGAGACTAGTAAACAGTTTTGGGGGCTCAATTTCCCCTCCCTCTTCATATTCCAGAGCTTAAAAGTTGTGGATCTCTGTAATGTCTGAGAATAGTTCCTTGATTTTAAAACAGTAACACACCGTATTAGACATTTCGTCTGTCTTGGTGTAGAATATTCTAGAACAACTTCTCACAACTCAGACTTTATTTACATGGATCTTTTGGTTGTAGACTTGGACAGATGCTGGGCAGTGACTCAGAGAACCCAACTAGAGCTCAGTGGTGTTCCTTTAGGACAGCCGATGCAGTGCAACCAGAAACCTTCCCCTGGACCCATTATTTCAGGAATTTCCCATTCTCGCTACCAACCAGAATAAATAACTCAGTAGTATTTATGTTAGTGTGGAATAGAAAAAGGATAATCTCAGCACAGAACCTGGTAGATTTATTGTTTAGTGTTGTTACTGGTACTCTTTGATCAGATAAAGTGGGGAATTAAAGAAAAAGAGGTCATTACTGGACAGGCCTCCTAACTGTTGGAGATCTCATTAAAGCATGTGAACTCTATTTCCTAATCATGGGATCATGCAGTGAAAAAATTGTCATGTATCACTCCTTACTTATTTGAAAATCGCTGTAGATCACATTTCGTGAAGGGTTTTCCCCCTCCCTCCTCCTTTCCTTCCTGTCCCTTCTCCCCACAAATCCCCTTCCCTCCCTGCTATATTGCTACCTGAAACTAACTTGTCTTCTGTTGGCAGCAAAGGTTTGCCTTAGAAATGGAAGTGGGTGCTTTGCAGGTAGTTAGTACATTTGACAGTTTAGGTCAGACTTAGGGGAAGAGCTAGGAAGGTCAACTGCATTTCCATAAACACACTTGTTTCTATCAAGTGTAAATGAGAATCTCAGGGTCTGAATGGTCCTGTTTTATGTTAGGTGTGCTGCCACCATGCCATGACACCCATCCATGACCCGGATTTTGATAGTGTTAATAAAAATGTTTTAAACAACTCCCAATCCCTCAATGCCAGGTTGGAGGATACAGTGGTACCTCAGTTCATGAACTTATTTTTTCTAGAAGTTTGGAAAAGATGGCCACATTTGTGTTTGTGTGGGAAAGATGGCTGTGGTTGTGTTTGTCACCTGTGCAGAGTTTGCAAACAACATTTTTGCCAAATGCTTCTTTGTGCGAACCGTGTTGTTTGCAAACAAAAGTGTTCATGGATTGAGATACCGCTATAATTTTCTTACAAAAATGCTTCAGATTTAGTGCCCTGTCTCAGAACAGACACCTTCTGTTGTTGTGGCTTTTTACTCAAGAGTTGTTTTTCTTGTTACACAAAAAAGTATGTCTAAATAGGGTTATTAATACAAATAGTGCCATTGCTGGTTTGTGGAAAAGGACCCCTAGGAGAGCAGTGTGGCTCATACAAGGTGAATTCTGTTTGGCTGACTGCTTTATAATGATTTACATTTAGATTGTTGCTCTCTCATAGAAGAAGGGGAAGGGGGTCAGCCTGTCTGGCTGCTTCAGCTGCCACATGGATGGGGTCTGGACAGTTTCGCTCAGCAGAGCTGGGAAATAGGTTGAACTTGCTTTCAATTGTTTTCATCAAAGTCCTTATTTAGTTGGTTTGTATTGAAGGAAATGTCATGTAGGACTGCAGGAATTAAATGAGACGAAAAATGAAGTTTGCAGTTGCTAAGAATGGCGCAGGGCATCTATATGCCAGTGCACAAGGTGGTAGAATTGGGTTTTTGAGCAAACTGCCCCTCTCTGTTGGAGCTTGGGATGATCTTGGGTGAAGTGCATCATCCTTCTCACACCTGGAGGCTGAGGAAGGGCATTCAGACAGCAGACACTAAGATGCATGCAACGTGCAATGGCTTCTCACTCAAACCACTTTACATAGAAAATCAGAGCTGCCTAGGAGAAGCTTCATTCATTCAAGAAATGTTTATTGCGTTGTAACCATAGAGGACACATTGTTGAACAAAGCAGGTGAGTATCTAGCCCTCCTAGAGCTCACATTCTCCTAAGAGGGACAAACACTGTGGAGGAATATAAGACAGGAGGTGGGGTAGTGTGGGGTAGATGAGTGACCCTGGAAGAAGACATCCATTGAAACTGACTTTGAAGCAAAGATTTAAAGGGTCTCATGTAAACCTGGGTGATGTGTATTTCAGCGAGAGGAACAGAAGGTGATAGCTATAGATGCAGGAAGCAGGCTTATATAGATGGAGCCCAGGGAGACCGAGGTGAGGGGAGGGCAAGTTATGCAAGGCCTTTCTCTCTGAGAAGGGAGCTATTAGAGGGTTTTAAGCAGGGAAGTGATTCTAACATGGGGTCACTTGGCTGCTTTGTGGAAACAGACTGTCGGGGGCAAAAGGTGAGCAGGGAGACCAGCTAGGAGGTTTTTGTGCTAGGCTGGATGAGGTGGTGATGGCTTAGACCGTGGCAGAGGTGTTAAAGAGCTGAGAAGTGGTTAGATCGGATTGTTTTCAAGACTGCCTCCTCGGTATGTAATGGTGGCTATTCATTCAGAAGCACAGAGTCCCCCAAGTGCTCCCTCTTTACTTGAAACCGGTTGTTTACAGCCTGCCTGTGATCTGAACTTCATTGCGTTTTAGTTACTTTTTTGAGGCTATAAGATACAAATTTTCATGCATCTCCCTCACCTGCCATTTCGGTACAGCCCTTGGCTCCAGTTGCTGCCTGTGTAATGCTCACAGTGCAGGTCCTGGGACAGTTATTCACTCTGAATGGTTGTGGACTTACTTGTGATATGAGAGCTTTATTCTTGTGTGTTTAGAAGTAGAAATATCAGTAGTTTTCATAGAAAAGATTATATCTCCTAACAGTATGAGATTATATCTCCTTTGAATATGGCATTGTGCTAACTAAGCACAGCAATGTAAATATGTGTAATAGTCTCTTCTCTAAAAGAATTGCAGCCCACTTAAGGATAAGCAAATATCCAAGAAGAGGTAAATAACTAAATACAAGTAGTAAACATGTAAGGTTCAAAGAGGTTCAGACAGAGGATCGCATTTCCAGCTGGAATAGCATCCTCATGAAAACTTAGCTATTTTTAAAAACAACAGCAACATAGAACTGATTTGGTGAACCAGCTCCACTCTCCTTTTCTTTCTACCTCAGGCCTGACTTGTTAGAACTCAACCCTCAAGGTGTCTGTTTGTCACAGATTATGCATTGTAAGCCAGACAGAAAACAGGCTCTCTTCCTGGGTGTGGTGGCACACACCTACCATCCCAGCATTTGGGAAGCTGAGGCAGGAGGATTGCTGTGAGTTCAAGGCCAGCCTGAACTACATAGAGACCCTATCTTAGAAAATCAAAAATGAAACAGACCTGGCTCCCTGCTCATACAGATTTAGCTCCTTCCTAGACAGGGGTGGTGCTTGGCAAAGAATTAATAGTGATCTCCAGTTGTGTTGTTTTGGTCAGATTCACAGTCTGAGAACGAGGCTTCACCAGTGAAACGGCCACGACTACTGGAGAGTGCCGAGCGGTCTGAGGAAACCAGCCGGTCTAAACAGAAGAGCCGACGTCGGTGCTTCCAGTGCCAAACCAAGCTGGAGCTGGTGCAGCAGGAACTGGGGTCGTGTCGCTGTGGTAAGCATCTCCCCAGAGGCGTGGAGACTCTGTCCTTAACACCCTACTCAGCGCAGCTTTGGAAGTTAGCCCTAAGAGGCCAGCATCCTTCCTTCCCCTCCCGCGTACCTCCCTGTAAACTAGGGTTAGAGTTTGGGAGATTAGGACTGCAGGGTTCTTGCCTCAGAACAGCCTCCGTTTCCTCTTTCCCTCTTACCACAGACTAAATAAAAGCATTTCCTAACTGCTCTTAGACACACTGAGTTGCTCTGTCACTGCTTTCTGCTTTCCACTTCTCCACACCCCTTACGTAGTGCTGGTTTCTTCTAGTCATTGTTGTAAAAAGTACCCAACTGTGCAAATGTGGGTTATGTACCCTAAATTTTAGATATTAACTTAATTTTGAAGAGCTTCTTACTAGTTATGATAAATAGAATTTTCCTTATAGCCCTTAATTTAACTTTTATTTTAAACAGAAAAAAGCAAGAAATAACAATAAAACAGTTTCAAAACAGGCGAGTAGGAGCTAACAATAATCAGTACATTGCGTATTGTTATATTCACAGTAGTTGTTCAGAGTACAAGATCTAGGCATGAAACATTGTCCAAAAAATTACTAGCACAAAACTTTCCCCTCAGTGAACCAAGAGAAACCAGCTGTGTAACTATTTTAACTGTCTGGTGTAGGTATATATTTTTTCCTGTACCCTTCCTTCCTTTCCCCTTTCTCCCATTACAGTTTTTCTTTTCATTTGATCAATTTCTTCCCTGTTCACAATATCTGTTGTACATTTTGGATCTTGTTTACTCTTTCAGATTCTCACATAGTGAGACAATACGATGTTTACACATGTGCGTTTGGTTTGTTTCACTTATAGGTATGTCTCGAGTTGTGACCATTTACCTATAAAAGTCTCAGCTTTATCTTTCTTCATGGCTGAGCAGTATTCTGTTACATTAAAAAATTTTTTTTATCCATTTATATCCCCTTTAAACTTAGATTAGAAAATTATTTTCTTTGAACCTTCAGTCAGTGAGTTGACACCTTGAATTACTGTCAGAGTAACCTTTTGTTCTTAATTCTCCAATGTAGTACCACCTCTTAGGATGGCCGCAGAAAGGTGTACGTTTACCCATAGTGGAACAAAAGTTAGAATTCATCCTGTCCTCTTGATCACATATATCATGTCATACAGGGGTAAAATTATTTTAGGCTGACATACATTTTTTCTTGTTCCTATTTTTACTTTCTGATTTTAAAGTGTAATATTATAAAAGTGGTCCATGGAACAGAACTGTCATCAGGCTGACTTTGAACCTGGCTCTAGCCTCAGAGAATCCTGCCTCTCATCCCTGGATGTTAGCTTTAGAAGCCCTCTTTTACCTCTAGGTAGCCATAGACAACCCTCAAAGTGTGGTGGTGCTGGCGGTGAGAACTAAACTCCCTGGAAGTTCTCTGTCTTAACAGATGGCCTTTGCTGCTCCTGCCTCTCAGTTATCTGATCTTCTGGAAATGGGGGGCAGTGCTAGCTTCTCATGGAAACTAAATTGGAACACCTGTTTCTTCGAGGACCAAGTGCATGTCTGTTACACTGTGGTATGTGTGCCTCCACAGAGTTAGAAGAACATATTCAACTGTAGGACCAGGGAACAGTATGGGGGGATGTCTAGAGAAGTAATGACTCTTTTAGGATTCAGTCGTGCTGTTAAATGCTTATGGAAAATTGTGAAGGAGAAGGTTACGGGAGCAGAGCGCCCGCAGTTTTTAGAAGTTTTCAGATTTCAGTTGTGATCGTGCATGCAGTGTGGTCCAAGTGAGGCCAGAACCTTAATGCTTAGTCTGTGTTTTAATCAGCCTTACCTAGGTCAAGGGGGCTGGAAATACAGCTCAGCAGCACAAGTGCCTGCCTGGCAAGCACAAGGTCCTGAGTTCAATTCCCAGTACCAAACAAAAAGTAAAACAAACTAATTAATTAATTAATTCGTAGTTCAGGGATACCATAGTTAGCCAAGAAAGCTCTGAGGCCTGATGATAACCAACTTTGCCCCATATAGAAGGATCTAATCCTTTGAGGTCTGCAAATTCTTGCTCTCATGTTCATGAATTATTGGAGAATTTCAGCAGTTCAGTTTGTTAGCGTTGTGAAACCTACCTAGATCTTTTTCCTGTTACCTTTATAACATAGGCTTTCAATTATTGCTCCTCAGAATTGTGGAATTTTTTGCTACCTTATATTCTTGTTTCTTTTCTTGAAAGTAACTGAATCCCACGTATTACATAGGATTTGCTATAGCAGGTCAAGGCAGTTGGTCCAAGAGTATGCTGTCTTACCTCCAGCAGTGGCTAATGCTTCCTCTCCTTGTCAAACCAGCAGAGGGAATTCACAGTTTTAACAGTGAGATTCTCAGGTGGTATAACCAAGCCTCCCAGTTTACCCTTAAGCTTTGACCTACTATCCCGAGGTCTTGGCACCCTGCTGAAAAAATCTAGAAGCAGTTGTTTGATGACTTCTTGCGCCCTCCGTGAAACCAGCTTTTGATTGTCAAACTATCCTGTGCTCTTCATTATTTTGGGCAAGAGGCTGTTGGTTTGCCACAGAATTGCATTCTTTCTCAGTTAACTAACACTTGGTCCAATTGTGCCCAATTCTGAGAGTCTGCTTAAGGGAAAATTGGCCTTTTTTGTTGAAGAAGAAAGCACTGAGCTTTCTGCAGAAGGAGCTGGCCTAGAGCAGTACCTGAGAGTTCAGTTTGGTCTGCTGTGAAAGTCTTAAGCCATGGGTCCAGCAAAATGTCTGAGTCAACTGCCACACTTTAATAAATGAAGGACAGTAGTGGGAACATATACCAGGGACTGCCTTTGACATGTAGCTCTTAGGTTTTTCCTGTGTGCCCGCTTGGATCTCTCTAGGAGAGGGGAGGTTGTACAGTTATTTCCTTGAGGACACATGAAGTATTAGGGAGACATTTTACAGCCCTGGAAGATTTTAGGGGAAGAGGGGACCCAATAATTTACTATTGAAAGTGAAGACTCAGGAAGGTAGTTTGAACTCAAACAGAGCACTTCTTCACTGCAGAAAATCTTTTTTTATACAGAGTCACAATCTTTTCTTCCATTCCCCTTCCATTCTGTGCAGGTTATTAACTGCTGACAAGAAATTCACATCTCATAAATAATGCTTAAGAGCCATTGCTATATAAATTGAATGTGTTATGAATTGTGATGGGCCTTTTTGTACCACTCGATGCCTAAAGCAGGAAGAACAGAGGATGTCATTTTCATTAATTTCTAATGAGGTGCCAATTAAAGGCAGGGAAGATGCTCCGAAGGGAAGGGTGGCCAAGCTCCCCTGAATCCTCTGCCCGGGGCTGTCATCCAAGCACTGCCAGCGAAGCCTCCTCTAGAAATTCCATTAAGTTACAGTCTCATTGAGAGCACACACAGACACATTCAGCTTCCCTTTGATCTTCAAAAGAGCAATTTGTAAGGCGAGTTCTGAGCCTTCTCACATAGGGAACAGCTATAGGTGATAGGAATTGTTAATTGCCAAGACACTCCATAGGCTTTCAGTGAGGAGGTAAATTTTGAAGATGAATTCTCCTCTGCCTTACTGTGACTAGGTAACCTTTACATCAACAATACCAAAGTACCCTTTTCCTGTGAAATCTTTCAGGGTGCCAATTAGAAAAGGCATGTGATGAGGCTGGCATGATACCCTGCATCCTAAGCATCTTCAACTGTTTAACTTCTCAGGATAGAAAACAGTTGCATAAAATGGATGTATTTGTTTCATTTTCCCCTCATGGGCAAACTGATCAGCTCACTCTCCTTGCAGGAGTCTTGTCTCCTGCAGTGCATGAGAGGACGTTCTTCTGCCATCTGGCCGTACTTGTCCGACCTGGACCGCATCACAGCCACGTGAATGCCATCCTCTTTCAGCAGACCTTGAGTGATACACACAGCATGGGCACTACTTCTCGGAACCACAGAATTAATTTTTAAAACCCGTCTAAGAGCTTTGCATAAGTCTTTGCATATTTTCAGTTGGTGGTGACTTAACAGAATGTAAGTGGATGTGCTTCCTTTTGGGACAGTAGGCTTTTACTAACCTCATGAGTAATCTGACTTTATTGTTTTCCAAATAAGTTTCTGTTAGAAATCCAGTGATGCTGTAGCAGGGGCCTCTGAGGTAGTTTATCGTTTTCAAGTATTTCAGCTGTCATTTCTGCCCTATCATTCACTGTCAGACCAAATTCAGAAAGCATTTATGAGATGACTATACTTGAAGCGTTTTGCTGGGTTTTGTGGGAAATACAGAATTAGCGTGGAAAAGACCCTTTTGTGATTGTTTCTTCGCATCTTTGCCAACGTTGAAGAGCATCAGTCCTTTTAACTTTCAGTCCTGCGTTTCAGTACTTAAAGTACTGGATGTATACTAGTATTTCATCAAGGCATATTAATTTGCATTTAATTTCTGGTGATGTTGTACATCTTTTTCTTGTGTTTTTTTTGCTATTTATCTGTATAAGAATCTGTTCACATTTCAGATATTTAGCTTTTACTTTTTTTTAACAGAAAGACTTACAGAATGTCATCTTAACAATATACCAATCCATAAATAATGTCTCTCCATTTATTTAGGTCTTCTTTAATTCTCAGCCATGTTTGAATTTTTTCACTGTCTTTTATTAAATACATCCCCATATATTTTAGTTTTTTATTATATTGTACATGGAATTTAAAATTTTTATTATCAGCTTGTTCTTTGCTAGAAATAGTTGATTTTTGTTTATGGTCATTTATCCTGGCTAAATTTAGTTCTAGATTGATTAGGATTTTGTACATCTGTAATCACATCATCTGCAGCTATAAGCAGTTATACTCCTTTTCAGTTTATGTTCCTTTTCTTTATCTTAGCTTTTTGTACCTCTGTCATAATGTTGAATAGAAGTTTGAGACATTGTTGCCTTTAATTTAGGTTGAAAGTCTTGAGTCTTTCACCATAATAGTGGTTGAGCGG